TTAAATTACATTGACTCTTTTTAAGTTTATTTAGGATTTATTGTTTGAAAGTTCTTCTTTGTCTAGTGCTCTGAGATGGCATTTTCAAAATGAGTTAAAGTGAATCCACAAATAAATGTAAAAGATCTGAACTGTTACTTTAAAATGAACTCTAAAAATATGTTGAGGATTATTTTTCATAATCAGCTATTTATTTAGGGAATACGTGATGAAAAACTGTGTAAACAAAGTCTTCTTACGTAAGATGTTTGGTCTGAATGTACTGTATGTTATGTGCTGTCTGTACATATATATCTGTACCATCTTCTAGCTGCTCTTAGCTGAGGTTGTGGCTGAGGCTGCATTAGGATGGATGGGGTCAGGAGAGGAGAAGTGATGAGCAACTATGAGTCACTTTTCAGTGAATGATGTTCCTGACAGAAGGAAATGAGATCAGCAGTAATATTTCTTGATTGATTTGTTTTACACCACAACTTTACTGTGTCATTGTTTGTGTGAAAAAAGACAGCAGTCAGATGTTAGCACACAATGAAAACTAATGTTCAAAAGTTAAAGAGGAAAAAATATGGACTTAATTAACAATTTTGATTTTATTAATGATTTAAGTAAGAAATAATATTAATGTGTCTGGTAGTTCATTGAATGATGGCCTATGGGGGAGGTGGGAGGGCCGGTGAGGTCCACACACAAGACTGAAGGATGACAACAGTGTGAAAAAAAAGTTTCTGGGTGGTTTGCATTCATTTCTTATTTAAAACTGTAATAAAAAAGATGAGTCAGTTTTTATTTTAGCGAGAGTTAAAATGAGTCCACCTTAGACTTTATCAGAATAACAGATTATTTACAACAAATGGTACCAAATGTTATACTGAACCTTATTATGCAGTGTTTGTCCCATTAGGTCTTCTTTCAGTGGCAAATAGATTATGATAAAATATTTTGTAATATAATATCATTGTTGCATGCATTTTGTGCATTTATTATGTCAAACACAACCTGGTAACTCTTAATTACCTATTTGTTTTATTTGTTTCAAATGTTTCACATGTGTAATCTTGAACATTTCACTATATTTTATAATTTTACTTTACTGCACAGAAGCTCAGGCAAAAGAACATCCAAAACTTTTACAAAACAAAACATTAATTTAGTTAAAATAAGGTCAAGAGAAATGTTATCTGTGTGTGAGAACATAAAATAGATAAACCAAGCTGTCGAYCTTATAGTTAAAACAAATTATAGCTTTCAAAAGTTTACAAAACAAAACATCTCATCATGACTGAGCTTCTCAAATAAGCCTTTACTTGTCAAATAATGATCCATTCTGTGTATAAACCCCTGAAGTGGCATACATTTTTAATTGTTAAATATCACATGTTATTCTCAACACTAACCTCTTAACATCAGGTTTGACAGCTATGAGCTCACAAACATTAGTTTTATATTTTCTTTCTACACAAACTGTAGACCCCTGCAGAATCTTCTCAGAAAAATTCTGACCCCCACCRCATGTGGTAGAGGGTATGCTTTACCACCCAGCCTGAAACTTGATTAAAATATTAGATGGGGACACAACTTTAAATTTCTAAGTCTGTTAAATTAAGTTAAACTGCGTGAGGAAAAAACATAACTTATAGGAGACATCCAGGTTGAGGTTTTGTGTTGAGCTCCTGATTGAACACTTTGTTCTAGTGTGGCACCGTGAGGAGCATCCACTACCTGCAGGGGACACACATCTGCAGTGTTAGAGCTTTTATAAGCCCCTCTGCTCCACTTTGCTCAGAGGTTAACTATATGAGGTGCATCTGGACTCGCCTGCTGTGGCTTTATACAGAGTAGCATTTCATCTGCAGAAACCTGTTTACGCTGCTATTGTGTGACAGCAACGTCTGCTCAGTTGTTTGCATGAGTTTGACTCAGAGTGAGAGTTAAACAAACACTCACCTGGCCCTGGTGATGTTGCTGTTTTTGTCTACAATGCGCTGACAAACTGGTTGGGCATATAATTAAATCTCATTTTCCTTCTCTTTTCTTCAAGTTTAATTATTTTCAAATGTGAGTAGTTTTGTTATTTAGAGGATTGTCCCCTTTTTTGTTTTCTGACTGTTTCACAGCTTTCTGTGTTTTATCAGAGGTATCATAGCCACATGGACATTGTTTTCACCTTCTGCATCTGCATCTCCTGCTTTGCTTTATCACTTTCTACGGCTGCTACTTAATCAAACTGGAGCGACGGAGCACTGCAGAGCATATTTCACCCCCCCCCACCCCCTCCTTCCCTTCCTGCTCTGAATGAGGGACCTCCCATTCTCTGTCTCACTCTCTCTCTGATTCCCTTCCACACTCCCTCTCTCCACCCAGTTTCTCCTTGACGGCGAGTCCTAGAACGCTCTGCAAGCAGCAACAAAAGCTGACGCATTTTCACCTACCTGTCTGTACCTGCAGAAGGACCAAGGAGTGGGGGGAATAATAAATTCCTCCCCACCTTTCACGAGCTGACTTTTCTCTCACGGCACTGGCTCATGTTGCCTGTGTTTGACACTGCGTTGGGTGTCCTCTGGTTTTCCTCATGGAATACGAATGACRACAGCAGCTTTCTTCTGCCACCAGCTGTCTTCTACGAATTTCTCTGCACAGCTTTTTGCTAAAAAACATGTGCAAACTATGATGATGGAGCATTTTTGAGATGGATTTTTCAACTTTAAAACTGAGCCTCTTTTTTTTGCCCTCCATGGATTAAAGGATCAACATCAGCCCTGGGAACCTATTCTGTTTGATATTTAGGATTTCAATCAGGACAGAACAGCTCACACCTGGAGGACGGACAGACATGTCACAGAGCTTTGTTTAATAAAAAAAACACTTAAAGTGAATGTTTTACTGAACATTTGAAATCTAAAGTACATGTTAGTGTTGTTGTTACTGGTCACTTTGACACTTTAGTTACTTTGTGTGCTTGAAACCAGAGAAACACGCTGAGAACCTGTTAAAGAGCACCCACGCTGTCTCTCAAAGCGGTGCCCTTTATAATTGCCCTTCTCCAACCTTTACATGCCTGTTTGGTTGTTGTGTCAGGCAAATCATAGCTAGCATATCCTGTGAGCATTGAAATAGACTTACGAAAGCTTACAAATTCACTTGAGTCAGACAGCGTGGAGCCTCGACAGTGATGAGTTGAAACAAGAGTCCTGGTGGCTCCAGGAGGACTGAACTGCAGAGAGGCCTTTCAGAAGTGGAACTGAAGAGTGATTCAGTCCTGCCATGGTCACGTACTGACTTGTTTTATCTGTGCTGCATCACCACTTGAGACAAGCTCAGCTCTGTTGTTGTTCTTCCTGTCAC